TACATAATCGGACTCAGCATTGAATGGACTTTCATATACAATTAAAAAATCCCGAGTGCCAGCTTAGCCAGATCCTGACAGTCTTCTTTATAAACTTCCATGATTAAAATTTAGTGATTTAGTAAAGTAAAAATATTATAGCATTATTATTAATATATTATTAAGTATGATGGTTTAATTAATAAAAGTAGCATTTTTGAAACATGATAGTCAAGTGATAAAAAATTGTGACGGCTTACTAGTTAGAAAAACATGATAGTTTTAATTAATAATTTTTTAAATAATAGTTTTATTTTTTGAACTTCTAAAATAAATATACATTACATTTTATTAATTGTAGTAAAATTAATATTAAAATAATATTACCATGCGACAAATGTTTTATTATGATTTCGCGATACTTTTTGATGTAATGGAAAACACTTAAGCTTGCACAATATGCACCATGTAATTTCAAAAGAATTCCAAGATCATTTTAGTTTTACATTGATTTTAACAAATATATTCAACAGGACTTACTTTATATAAAAACTCTATCCACATAAAAAACTTTTATAATAATATTATTTGAAAATAACATTTAGGTTTGATTGAAAATATATGTATATGTAAAGATATATACTGCATAATTAATTAAATAATATATTATAATAATATAATAATATAGTATACAGTATATTTATAGCAAATTAATTAAATTACAAAATATATCCACCCTGTACGGTATTATTTTATAAAATTAATTTGGAAACACTGATTTAATAAATCGATATTAATATACAGTATAATAGTTATATATTACTTACAGTACTAGTATATCTATAGCAAAATAATTAAATTTGCAAAATACTTATGTTTATTACATATAATAAGCATTTTATGCAATACATTTTTATAATAAAATTATTTGAAAACAACAAATAGATTTGATGCATTAGATTAAATATATATGTAAAATTAATTAATTTTTTATAAGTATAGGTAAAATTTGAATATCACTTTATACTGTAGTATAATATTGCAAAATAATTAACATGCAAGTACATACACTATTTATAATAATATTTCATTATTTTATTTATAAATGCAGTATAAATTATTTGTAAATAGACAGTGGTATCGAATGGTAGACATTGAACTAGATCAAAAATTCTTGACATCTGATGGCATCACATGCTAAATATAATTACAACAAAACAATATATTTTATAAAGGGGTTCAAATGTTGGTTGTAAGTATTAAGCAAATACCAAGTTTTATCTTTTTGAATTATTTTTTTAAAACCTTTATATTTTATCTTAATCGGAAGCATCGTGAAGTGAAAGTAAATTGAGTGGTTATTATTGCCATGATTAGTTAGCTAGTAACATAATTAAAATTTTGAATTGACTAAAATTGGCCAATCAAGTAAATTAGCTTGTTAAATTCACGTTCAACCATCACTGGCATCCTTATTTTGTCATTGAAATGACATAAATTCTATGGATTCTACAGAAAATGAATATCAACTGCTATGTGCCGTCAAATATAACATAATTGCAGAAATGATTAACAATATATGAACACAAAATACTAGGATAACATTGTATTCAATTAAATTTAATGTTATTTCAATGACAAAATAAGGATGCCAGTGATGGTTGAACGTGAATTTAACAAGCTAATTTACATGATTGGCCAATTTTAGTCAATTCAAAATTTTAATTATGTTACTAGCTAACAAATCATGGCAATAAAAACCACTCAATTTACTTTCACTTCACGATGCTTCCGATTTAGTTCCTTAGGTCACACAAACTATATTTATTATATTCTATAATGTAAACCCTTTTTATTCTCAATCTGGCCAAAAACTAGCCTATATTCATTATAACCTATGGGCTATAGGCTACTTTTGGTCAGATTGAGAATAAAATGAGTTTACCAGTATTATAAGTTATAATGATATAGTGTAAAGGACATCATATTTAATTAGGTAAATACACGTCCTTATAAATAATTTGATTTTATTTTACTGTAAAGTTTTTACTAATAAAATAGTTTGTAATAATTTTCAATACTTTTAAAATTACCGATATCAAATTATAAACATGACAGTTTTAGGTAGGATATATTGGTTAGTTTGTAATTTAAATAATATTTATAACAAAAAAGTAAAAGTAAATATTTTATTAATTAATTGTGGTTGAAAATGAAGTTTAAAATAATTGTAAAAAGTTAAATACAGGTAGTTTATGAACAATATTAGTTATAAAACTTTAATATGATATAGTATTGTTTTTGTAAACTATACTTAACTATGATAAAATAAAATACCAATAAAAGTGAAAAAATAATTCATAAAAGTTTTAATTATTTATAAAATCTTATCATAATTAATACAATACCAGCACCTTTATTAATTAATTAACATTTTTGGCCAAGTTAATTTTGCTGTTAATATCATCGAGTCTTCGTTGATAACTATTAATCTCCTCCACCGAGGTCTCCCTAATTGACGTCAAGTAACGATCAAAATCAGTTATCGAGATCAGTATTTTAGCTTGCTCAGATTTCGATAACTTGGACCCATTAATAGCTAGCTTAGTCCTATAGTGATTTGTGGATAACTTATCACGTAGAGCCCGCATTTGTGGACTGAGCATGGTCACATTGGTGGACGTGGAGCTAAAACCTGATGGTTGAGCCCCACTGGACGTACCACCTGCTGCCTGTCCACTGAGGGTACCATTTATACGCATATTTCCAAACGCGTTGTTTAGTAAAAGCTGCTGAAAGTGGTCACCGGTAGGGGGTTGAGAGGCCTGTAAGTCCCTCACTTGGAAACTGTCGGCTACAATCTGCCTACGAAATTGCTCGCTAAAGTTGCCTGATCATGTTAGAGAATATTATTTTGATTAACTATTAATTATAAAATGTGCATGCAACAAATTACATACCTCTCCACTCGGTGTTATACCCATCATTAGTGGCCAGTACGCTGACATTATACCTACCGGTGCCGCTATAGTCAGTATAGTAACCATAATAATAGCCCTCATTATTATAGTTATTTAACGAGAGATCAGTTTGCGATCCGTTAGGCCTGTCCACAGTTGCCGTAACCATAGCGCCGACTATCGGATCATTAGCCTTACAGAGCTTACAGGCTATAGTCGGTGGACAGTCAGCATCTGGTGCTATCAAAAAGACTTTCATTTCAATAGCGTGAGCACCGGTAGCTTCACTCTCGACAATGACATGTATCTTAACAGCCGGTTCACACTGTTTGCTGACTCTTATACTCCATACGCCCGGTTCACTCTCATCCATATATAGCTGACACTGTTTCAGCTCCAGGCGCTTAGATACCTGTCCGCCGGTGGTACTGAATATAGTACCGGAAGGGCTGGTAATGTCGAGCTCTATAGACTTGATGTCTTCGGATCGCACCTGTATTTGCGTGTTTCGGCCGATATCCGGGTCTATGGGCACCGGTATGTCTCTGGTGTCGGTGCTGTCATTGATGGTCAGTATTTCGTTGACCACAGATATGGTGACCACTTCTGCCATCTCCTTGGATGTGATCACCTCTTGCATCGCTGCCTCCATAATACGGGCCATCATTTCGCGGCTGTCGGCGCCCACACGACTCAGGTTATACACCCGACCCCTGGTCTCCGTCGCCAGTCTCTCGAGTTGTGGGTTAGCCGTCACACCAATGGCCAGACATACCACTCGTACCTAAAAAGTTAAATACAATTATTATTTTAAAATAACAGAACTTTGAGAGAGAGAGAGAGAGAGAGAGAGAGAGAGATCCAAACTTTAATAGTTTATTAAACAAAACATACTTGAGCTAGGTGCAAATGTGGTAACACATCGCCCACGTAGTCTAGATTTCCAGAGACATGCTCCCCATCGGTGGCCAAAAATATATTAGCGCCGACTGTACTGATACCTGCCCTCGTGAACGCTGCCAACCCCTCAATAATACCGGCCCTGATATCGGTAGAGCCGCTACCCATTTGAGGAACAGTAGCTATAATAGTGTCTCGGGTTTCCCGGTTGGATATACGTGTGAGGGCGTAAACTGACCATGCTCGTTCATTAAATAACACAATTCCTACTGAATTGCCGTCAGATATGCGTTCAATGAACCGTTTGGTCTCCAGTTGTAAGGTCTGACACTTGGCACCGGACATAGACCCCGACACGTCCAACACAAACACTGTCCGGTCACTCATTGTTTAGTGAATAACCTGGATAATAAATTAATTTTTAAATATTTATACATTTTAAAATTATACTTACTATGTTTGGGTTATTTTTGGCAAATAATGTATTGATTTCTAGTAATATTTAATTTTTGTGAAACAGTTTTTAACACATATTTGTAGTGTTAGTCAGAATATGTTATTAAAAATCAAAGTTCAGTATTATTCATAAGTATTATTTTTATATCTATGAAATACAATACCTGTCTGAATGCAAGTGAATATAAAAACACCAGTTTTTTAGTACCAGTTATTTAGTAAAGAGTTATGTTATCGGCATAAATGTTAATTTTTATAATGAATATTATTATGAGAGCTACTTATGATTAACTAGCTCAAACTGTATAACTAAGAATATAATATGTATCTAAGGGCACCAGACATAGATATATGAATTAATTGTATTAGTAATAAACAAGGTCTGAATACATTTTTATTTTGATAAGAATAGTGATTTTTAAATTTTATATTAATTAAGTATTTAAAACTTTTTTATTATAATTACTTATTATAATACAACTATAACTACAATTTATAATTATTCTTGTCTTTATTGTTGTGCAATATGGGAAAAATATTAAGTAAGTAATTAATAAGTTTTTTATAATATTTAATTATTTGTTGATAGTTTTGTATTGTGTTAGTTTTTTAAATATTATATAATACTTATTATTTATAATAAAAATCTATTAGATTTATGGTAAACAAAACTATTAGATGAGAATATAAAAAGTTTTTCGCAATATTTAATTATGTAATTTTTTACTAATGAAATAATAGCATACCAATATTTTTGAATAAGTAGTATATAATAATTTAACTTAATTGCATAATTAGTTTAAGAATTTAATTTAATTTTATAATTATTTACAATTTACTAATTATGTTTTTTAATTTAAATTTTTAAACATTATTAACTATATTTACCAGGCAATTATAAACAGCTGCACCACGATTAAAATGACAAACTATCGGATTGTTGATTTGATTGATGATCAATTTCATCTCAATAAACCAAACGTTGAGCGCATATTGACCAAGATCAATGAAAATGAATGCCATGAAATAGCCATCATATCGGTGGTGGGCCCACACTTCGAGGGCAACACATTCACCATAAATCTTATACTAAACTGTTTGCAACGGGGTGACCAAGGTGGCGATTGGCCGAACTATATCATTATTAGACATGACTACGGATTCATAAACAATTACCCCGAACCGGGAACTAGCGATGATCAGGCTAAATGTCAAGGCATTGATATGTGGAGCGAACCTTTGATAATTGAGCATGATGGTCGCAAAATAGCAGTTTTACTGATTAATCTGCAGAATTATCAGTATAAATTTGAGGACTATTTAACTAATAGCTCATTATTGCGTGTGTTCCGGTTCATATCACAAATATCTACCGTTTTTATAATAAGTCAAAAGCGTGCAAATCTTAATGTAAGTTATTACATGTTATGATATAGCATTCAAAAGGTACAGGCTATCTTTCCCTTAATAATAAACACTACAACTACGAGTCCCATAATATATGAAGTTTGAAAACTAATGTTGATTCATTATGAAAAATAAATATATTAACACCACTAGTTTTAAACATAAGTTAGTCATACAGTTAAACAATAGTTGCTCGTAAGTTTTAATTGATAAAATAGTAACTAGTGTCCCTTAAAATAAATTTATTTCCGAGATTTAAGACTAGCAAACATTAATACAACTTGTCATTCATAGCATTAGAGTGACATAAAAGCAGAGTTTATACCCACCTTTTGACTACTGTACATTCAAATTATATTAAATACTATAAGAATTAAATTTATAATTTTAATCTATAGACACGTTATGGCGCAAATGTGAAAGGTCCGCACGTGTTTAAATTTTCGTTCTACGAGACATTAGTCGATTTCATAGAGTATTGGGAGATATTTGACAATGGTCGATCGCCCATTGATTTTAAGCCAAAACTTAAGCAATTTAAAGAATCCCAAGATTTTGAACGAGAGGTTAATACACACGGCGCTCATTTGGTAGCCTGTCCCACGAGCGCCGTCAGACAAGTTGATTGGAAAGTGACCGATTTGAACCGGGATTATGTTTGCGAAATTACCAAGTTCATTAAATTTAACATCCTAACTGCTTATAATTGGCAATGGGGCAAAACATACGAAAGTTCATGCTCAATTATGGACTATATTGTAAATAGAGTAACTATCTATAATGGTAATGATAGTATTGAAAAACCCCTAACTGACCTGGCAATTAAAACTGAAGACATGGCCTCACCTCGTACTAATAGTACTAATATTGTACTTGAAACAAACCTAGATGAATTCATAATTAATCATAATAGTCTAGGACAATTATCACAGACAGAGAAGGATAAAGCAATTGACCATGATAAGATTATTCAGCAACAGAAAAATGCCAATACTATTTTTGACACACCAAATACCAAACGTTTTTTGCCTGGCTCACAAATCAAGCAACCAATATCGTTACCGAATGAACAGCAAACTGATACTAACCTAAGAAGTACAGGCTATAAAAATTCAACAACTCCTAAATTGGATAAACCAACTTATGCCAAAGTAGCAACACAGCAGTATACCGGTGCTAACAGTAAAATGGAACTAGATAATCTTTGCCAAAAGCTACTGACTAAATATAAACAAAATCTTGTGGATCATATAGATAACGTGGAATCCGACATAAATCAAGCCTTAGAAATGGCACACATTTCAGTGAAATCTAAATGCATGGATGAATTTAATAAGGTCCCACTGAAGGGGAACTACATATACACTAAACTGGTCCAGGATTGTAGGCAATCACTGGAAAAGTCAATGGATTTAGAAAAATCAAATTTTATGACAAAATACGAAAATTGTATCAAAAGTTACGAACAATTGATGAATGAAATGATGAAAGGATTCTCAGATTTGTTTCGACAGAAAATTAACGTAAACTTCAAATACTATATAAAAGCCGAAAATTTAAACCAAATTTACGAGCCGACGGCCAAAGCAATTCTCAATTCGTTTGAGTCCAAGTCTACTGAATTGAAAAGTTTGAAAATTTTTTATTCAACAAAATTACGGCAATTAATGGCCGATCGGATGGTAATGTTCACTCATTTCCGGGAAGTTTACGACAAATTCGTAGACAGTTGTGAGCAGTTGTGCCGATGGGACGAGTATCTCATAAATGATGACCATTTGAGAGACTATTTACTCGAAAAGTCAGTAATTGTGGACACATTTAAAGGCGACAAATATTTGTCCGAAAAATACGATGAGTTAACTGCAAATGATATTCAATTATATAAGAGAAAGATATCCGAAATTAATGATAAAAATAAGGATTTAATAATTAAATGCATGAAAAAGGCTCAAGATTTATATGCCGATAAAATGTTCGAATTACTAAGTTCTGGGGCATTTACTGATGAGATTTTTATGCAAAAATATGCCGATATATACGATACTATTTGTTCTACTATTACACACGATATACCAATAAAGGAAAACAAACAAGGTGTAATTAATAAATGTCAACTGGATATCAAGGATATGTTCTCAAAACTATACCAAGCTCAATCGCGTAGGAATCAAGAGAATCATAAATTTGTCGAGAATTTAATGAATGAGACAACGGCTGAACTTTATAAAGAATATTCTGTAAGAATATCAGATAAACTAGCTAAATGTGTTTATCTCCCGGATGACAAATTTGAACAAGTACATAATAGTGTACTAGATGAATTATGGCCAATTCAAGAACAACTAATATTTGCCCACAAAAATCGCTTCAATGATAATTATTTATGGAAAACTATTAATGAGAACAAGGAATTCATTAATAATAATATAAATCACGCGAAAGACAAATACAAACAAATAAATGATTTGAAAAAATTTAAATCCCATTCACTTGTCATGCAATTCAATGACAGACCTATTGGCGCTTATTATGATAGGCCAACAAAAGCAGTAATAAATGTACAGAGTTATAATGGGAATAGCGATGTCAATTGTATCGCGTTTGATGGCAATCGTATACTCTATGGCAGTAAAGCAAAGGCATACCTAAATGGCAACGTCTATGATATCAAAGATATTATGGGACGGTATATACCGGATGATGAAAACCTAAACAAATATGGATTTAATGTAATCAATAAACATCCCGTAAAAGTAAGGCTCAGATTCACGGACACGAGCCAAGCGAGTGTCGACTTAAACGTCGAGTCCTTATTCGCATTACAAGTATTGGAAATGAAATCCAGGGCTGAGACACAGTTTGAAAACTATATGCAAAACGCGTTAATCATTGTTCCCACAAAGTATACGCTGAGACAAAAATTAGCCATAAAGGACGCTGCTAATATTGCCGGATTTGATCATGCTCATATATTGTCCCAGATGAGTGCCGCGGCCATTGATTTTGGATTTAACTCGAATTGTTATTCAAGAGATACCGCAATCCATGAGATACTGATTATTATGTTTACACAAAATGAGTGTGAGCTAGCTCGTATTGAATACATTGATCATAGTGTCAAATACTTGGCCTATCATTGCGCCGATACCCATGGTGAATATCCTGTAATTGCCAAAAATATTTCACAGTGGTTGTCAAAAATACTTGAGGGTGCTAAACGCAAAAAGTTGTACGACTGCCTTATAACAGGTACATTTAATTTATACTTATACTTTATGTTAAAGTGTAATTGATTTATTTTATTAAAAATATCAAGGTGATTTGGACAAAATTCAAAATTATGATTTAATGTCTGCCCTAAAAAATCGTTGCTCACAAATTATCACTAATGATATAACCATCAGCACTACTAGAGGTGGTATGCATTACATGACCCATTACGAGGCTTACAATAAAATAATCCAGATAAATGGTGTAGCCATGCGCGACATAATTTGTAACGTCTATTTGAACGATGGGAAAGGTTGGACAAGCGAAAATATGCTGACTGCCAACAAATTACCTGACACAAATCCGAGGGTGTCATTTAAGTTGACCAAAGATGTTAAATTTCCCATTAGCGTGAACATTAATGACAGCCGTAAAGTTGTCAAGCGATATTCAATTCATACTTTACCTGAACATAATAAACCCTGGAAGAAGTTGTATATATTTCTAAATAAAGATGTTGGTTACGAAAATGAATTCAATTTCTCAATTACGGCTAAAGTGTCAGACAATAGTCGAGGTTTTCGTGATATAATTTTAATTGAATTGCCGTATAGTCTGACTGGAACGCAAAAACATGAGCAAGCACAATTGGTGGCGAGTTTGGCAAAATTGAAAGACAACGATATTACAAAAAGTGAACCGAGTGATTTAATGGATTTTGATGATCATTATGATCCACAAAAGTCGTCAACATCAAAGCCAAAAACTATTATAATTAGCGACAATGAGCTTGAACAATTTGTCAATCAGTTAGTCGATGATTACAAAAATTCTATATCTATTAAAATGAAATCTGATGAATACAACGAACAGAGCTATGTAGAAAATGCAACAATTATAAATACTGAACTTCAACAAAAGTATAAAGCTACGTTTAGTGGCAAACAACCTAGAGACTTAATCAAGACTTACCACATAATATTGAAAGAATTTTTAAATAATGAAGACATTGTCTTTAAGACTATTATCAGAGAAAATTTGGAAAAGAAATACCTGAATGTTATCGAGATTTGTGTCAAAGAATTCAATGATAACATGAAAATTGATATAGGTGCCGATATTAATAATAATGGTCTAGATAATCATTATATCTCTATATTTACGCGCGGTAATAACGATACGATTAAGCGTTTTAATGATTTGTCAAAAGACTTACCACAACCTAATGTCCAAATATACCGAGCTGAGTTAACCACCAATATCAATACCTGTGCCGATAAATACCGGCTTCTATACGAGTGTAACGAAAAGTACCGCGATACTTGTAGACGAAAAATAAATGCCGATAGATGCGTCGATAACAAAAAATTGACCGAGATGCAATATGATGTAGAAGTACCACAAATTGTAAAAGACAATCAATATTTATTGGATTATTTAAAAATAATGTATACGAAAACATGTTCACATTTTATACAACTATTAGAAAAAATTTACCAAGATGAAAAGCAAATGGTTAACAACGCTATTGAGCTGGCAGTTAAACAGTACCGAGACATTTTAAAAACAATATTAAAATCAAAATATTATACATTGTCAAATATGAATATTATTAATGAGAAATTGACTGACAAAATCGCTAATATTTTACAAAGGTCATGCATTTTTAATCCGCTCCAAACAAACCTGGTACAATATTGTGTGGATTCTTTTCATGCAAAAACTAATGTCATTTTCAAAAATTTATGCGCTAATTATTCTGAAAACATATCAACATTATTTACCATGATCAATGATATTAATCGGAATATGCACCGTAAATTTTGTCAATCCGTGCGGAAACAAATGACCGGAAAATTCATCAAGATCGACTCGTTACAGGAAACGCTTGAATACGAAATGTCCGTAACTATGGCCGACCAAAAAGCATCCATAACTGCATTAAAACATGACGACTGGGAGGACACACTCGTTGAAAATATCTTGGCTAAAAAGGGGCAAAAACTCAAACTCACCTTGTTTAACCAGATTCACCAGTATAAACTGGAAAACTTTCGAAACGCTAAGGACTCTGTATATTTAGGCGTATATCTTGGGAGAGATATTTTGATGGGCACCTACTTTGATGGAAAAGTCAAATATGTGCCTGATACCAACAATGGCAGCAATTATATCGACAATTGTATTGCTTATAAACACATGTTTATATTCGGATCAGAAGCCAAAGAGTATTTGACGGATACTTACGGCTCATTCGACATCAAAGACCTCTTATGGAAGGATGAAGCGGACGTCTCGGAGCTCCAAAAGTATCCGTTTATGGATTTGACTACAGGTCCCATAACCCTTAACCTTCCCTCAAAAAAGGACCCAGGTATGGCATACAGAATATACATTGAAACATTAGTAGCCCAACAGGTGCTAGACATTAAACACGCGGCGGAGTTTCAGATAAAAGGGGCCGTACGTATGGCTGTGTTTACGGTACGCACGGATTATCGGATCAGACAGAGGGCTATACTCGGAGATGTGACTAAAATAGCAGGGTTCGAAACGTCGTACGTAATTACCGAGATCACCGCGGCCGCCATGGCCTATCTTATCGATAAAACAAGGGACAGTATGTCCAAGGAAATTATTATGGTATTCGCACTTGACCATGATCATTGCGACTACGCTCTAATAAGATTAACCAATACCTGCATTGAATACCTGTCCTATGGGAGTCACTCTGTTGCTACATTAATGGAGTTTGGCACCGGTAGCTCTTACCCCATAATCATCGACTATATCACCAATGAGATATCGATCAAACAATTATCTGAAACTGATTTGTCGAAAATCCTGGTCGTCGGTCAATCTGATAGACTAGTGGACCTAAAAACCTGTGTATCGAATCATTTCGCACCCAAACCCATATTATACGACTGTCCGCCGCGGGATATCATCGCCAAAGGGACGGCATATTATGGACAGATGCTAGAGAAACGACTGGACACTATTGAGATAAAGGAAGTAGTCAAAATGCCCATTAATATGCTAGTACATATTAATAATAAAAATGTACAATACAAATTGATGGAGCAAAATGTAAGCGTGTTCGTCTATCGCAAACTATCTGAAACTAACATTAAAGTGAGCGGGGACAGTTTTCCCATACATATATCAATCATTGAGGGCGATGAACAGATAAAGTTGTTTGTGGTCGATAGGCCACCACCGGCAACGTGGTCGAAGCCCATCGGCAAACTGGCCGACAAAATGTTTCCCTGGAATACCCTTCTAGTGTCTTATCACATGGACCAGGATACACTGGACATACACTTTAGCGCCACCTTAAAAGCTAAAACAGGCGATCATCCAATTAGTCTAATCGATAGCAAAGTCAGACTAACCCAAACAGATATCAGTGGTCAGCGTAGTATAATAAATAAACTCGGTACTTTTAAATTGGCAACAGATGTACAGAGTAAATGTATGGACACGATATCTATTCCGAGCACCAGTTCTGGGCAGGTATTACACGAAGTAAAGTCTGTGCCCAACAAACAGGTTGACACAAATAGGATGACAGCACCGAGTGATGAGTTCAGTGCGTTTTGCGCCGGTATTCGGAACAGACTGGACAGTAGTACTGATATATTTCACCGGAAAAAGGCTAAACTTTTGGATAAACTGACCGCAAGTGTGGATATTGTTAGAAAAGATGGCAAACAATTGGATCAACAAAAGCGAGAGATACTTGAAATGATTGACACGTTTAAACTGAGGGATAAACTGATCCCGGCATAAATCTTTTATATAAAAATTAATTTTTTAATATTATTTGGTATAACATTATCTATATAATTTATCTTTTTAAAAATTGTTCTAAGGAATAGGAAAATTACTTGTTAAATATTTTGAATTTTGAAATAAGTTGTTATATGAACAAGCAAACTCAATATCTAAGTTACATTAGCTTATTTAAAAAATTAAATTTTAAATTAAAAAATCTCTAGTTATTATAAATAAAATAAAATTTTATAAAATTATAAAATAACTTTATAAAATATTAATTATAATTTTCAAGCAACAAAATATGCTTATAAATTTTTTAAAAATTATAATATCAATTTTTAAAAATATAATTATTTTAATTATTAATTTATGTTAAACATTTTATTTGTTAATTTTAATAAAAATATTAAATCTCATAATATTCATTGTAATTTGAAAAATTATTTTATTAAGGAATTAAGAGATATTTTTAAATAAAAAATTTAAATTTTATATTAAATAATTTATTATCATCATATTTAACACTACAACCTAATATTCATTATCATACAATCATACTTAAAATATTTTGCTTTAATACAGTATACAAATACTAAATATTATTATTTTATACAAATATGCATATTTATCTGTTAGTGAAAGTATAATATATTTCACTTTATAATCAGTTGGTTAAGTGTTTTGACTGCAAAATAGGTGCTCATATCGTATAACATTAATAATAGTTCTGTCTATTCATTTAAACAGTGTATTCAATTTATTCATACATTAGTAAACAGTAATGAATTTAATATGATATAATCTTAACAATGAAAATAGCACATTTTTACCAATACTATTAATTAATGGTTATTATTTCAAAATTAAAAATCACATAAATTTACTTACAATCATAATCATATTTTTGCCATTTACAAAACTTCCGAAAACTTATTTTCAAAATATAATTTCTATTTCATAATGTTGTAGAAATAAAATTAGATGTAGGTAGCAAATATTTGTTATTCATATTGTAAAGTTTAACTGCTGTTCTATAACCAAGTTACTTTATTTTAATTAAGTAATATTAATTTTACAAGATTATTAAAATTATCTAATAGGTCACAACTTTTAAATACATAATTATAAAAACTTTAATATGTTATGTTAATGGCAAATAAAACTTAATGTATTATAATTTATTTATTTATAAATAAACTTTAAGAAAGCTACCTTGGTAATCTCGTAATTATATGTTAAATATTATGTTACATAAAAAGAGAGTTCTTTGAAATACAATGATATTTAAAACCCTATGCTATGACTAACACAAGTTATGATGATTGGTGTCTAAAAATGAAACAATTTTCATAACACTTATTATGCATTCATATCAGTGTTTATTATATTGTGTACAATAACTGAGACTTTTAAAAAATTAATGATTAAATAAATAAATGCTTTTGTCATAAATAATCATATATTACAATTACTATAAACAGAAAAATGGACCCGGTGTTAATCATAGACTTTGTGAAGGTGCCCGGTAGCGATAAATGCCAGTATGAGCTAAATAAGCCGGGCCTGGACGGCATACTGGCCAAAGTTGAGAACAGGCGGGTGGCCCTCGTAGTTGGTGTGGGAAAGGCAGGTGAAGGGAACTCATTCCTGATAAACAAGATTGGTCGCCATCTTTTTAATAGCTAAAAGTTTTGCCGATCAGTGGACGGGTACGACATGGATGAGTGTCTGTCCGACACCGTCATTATACCCGACCCCAGCGAACCATTATATGGTATTTATTATTAATAATTTTATTTTTATATAAATTTATATTTTTTTAAATACCTGGTGCTATAAAACAAACCTCTTAGCTATTTTTGAATTGAAAGTTATTTGTCACTCGAAAGTAATGAAAAAGCTCTCAATTCATACATAGTCAAAAATGTCGTGTTTGCTTAGCACCAGTGTGAAAAATGAACTTGGTATTTGTGGCCTATTATAGTATAAATACACAATACCTCTTGTTTCATAAGCCTATCCCTCTATGCCATAGGTTTCGAGTGGAATACAGAGATGAATAGTCAGACCACTCGCGGGATTTGGTTTTCGCAGCCATTTATTGTCCACAAATCCAGTGGCGAAGAGGTGGCCATCATTTTGGTGGACACCCAGGGATTGTATGACGGATTCTACGATGAGAGGGACTGGTCTACCATTGTAGGCCTGAGTCTACTCATGTCATCAACACTTATATTCAATGTAAGCAAAGATCTCGGAGAGGATATCCTCCCGAGAATACACTCATTCTTCGACTATGGACTGCAAGCTCTCAACCATATCCGTGAGTCTATTGATGGGAACGGGAGGAAACCCTTTCACGATGTCGTAAGTTTTGATTCGTATAATTATGATTAATTTAAACCTTATACTGTATAATTTATACACTTTATAGCTAAGTTTTCTTTATAAATTTGTTGCTGCAAAACAAACAAGTCATTGGATTATTTGTGATTTAAAGTTTTTTCGTTATTTGAAAACTTTTAATACAAAAAATAATCCAAAATTCGAGTTTTGTTTCGCAGCATCAAATGTAGTGCTCTATGTGTAAAATCTATTGTTTTATGTAATTAAAACATAAAACAAAATTTTAAATATTGATATAAGAGAATGAAATTTAAATTAAATGAAAAGAAATATTGTCGGAAAGTTAAAATGGATTCATTATGGGTATGGATAACAAGTTTATAAAGATGCACTTAAGTAGCCAAGGCCAATTCTGAAACGCTCGTTGTGTCTCATATATAGTTTGTTACATATACTTACAATCAGTCCTTTTAACTTTTAAACAATATTTCTTTCCACTTATTATAAATTTCTTAAACTAATTTAAAATTAATCATTATTAACTGTATAACAGTGTATTACTAGTACACTGCTGTATATTGCTAGCAATAGGACACTTTAATTGAAAATATTTAAAATTATAAATATCGAAGAATTTTATTTTGCTAAAAACTTAAACACTTTTACATGTTAATTTTAGATATTTATGATCCGGGACTGGACCCGTCGGGACCCGCCCTACGGACTAGAAGGGGGTCAGAACTACCGGAACGCCAAATTTGAGATCAAAGGCCACCAAAGGGCTACAGCTAAACAGTCACGACAAATGATTATTGACAGCTTCGAGAGCTACCAGTGCTTTCTGATGCCCGGCCCAGGACTGGTAGCCGTGAATGGCGAGTCCGGGTTTAACGGTAGTGCCAATCAATTGAGTGACGATTTCAACACAAAAGTCGATGAGTTTTGCAAACATCTCTTAAATGCCGACTCAATTAAAGTCAAAACTATTAATGGTAGACCGGTTAGTGGTGGTGAGCTAGCACAGTTTATCGACGACTGTGTTAAGATTTTAAATAGCGACAAAATGCCCAGGGCCAGTGATAGTGTTGAGACCAGGCATAGAGCTACCGATCTTAAACTTATTAATCAATTAAAGGTATTTAATATTTTAATTATATTTAATTAATGTTTCATATTCATTTTCAGATAGTTTTATAATAAATAAATATAAATATTATATTTTAATATCTAAATAAAAAAATTTAATAATTTTTTAGCACACATTAAGAATTTACTTTAAAATATTAAAAATATTTATTATAAGATTTAATGATTATTTTTTTTGACAATAGGATGAGTACGTGAATGAGATGGCAATCCTATCTCTGGACAAACCATTCAGTGGTCGGACACAACTCACCGCACAATCAGACGACTTGATTGACGGCATGAAAGCGAAGTTCAGTTTCCATAAGAAGTTCACTGATGAACCTGTGGTCCAGGAGCTGACGGCACTGTTAGCTCAAACACTGGACACGGCTTTCCAGTCAATATACACCGAGAATGAGAACCGAAGGCTTACGGCTACCAACGATATGATCACTGAATTGGTGGACGAGTTTAAGGCGGATATCAATGAACACATTACTCCCGATGACTACATCAGTGATTATACTTTCGCCAAAATAGTGGACACAAAACGGGAACACATTGTCAATAGGTTTGACACGTTTTGTGCGGTTGAGTCGCAATTGTTTGACTCACATAAGCAAAGGGTATACAAGTTTTGCTATAATTTGATATTTCTTTTTAATTAATATTTTGTATTTTGTTTATCAGTTATTGAATCAAATCCAAAGCGAGTCCAATGTTTTCATCGCTAATAATAATCAACGGAATCAACAGTTAATTAGCACTTATGAAAAGTGTTTGGCAACACTTA